ATATTTTACAGTTAGGGTGGCCAGAATCTGGAACCAACTTCCAGGGAAGTGATCCTCACCCCTACCTTGGGTAAATTCAAAAAGAGGTTAGATGATCACCTGTCTGGGGTCTTGTGAACCCAGCATTCATTCCTGCCTGTGGCAGGGGGTCAGGCTAGATGATCTCTTCAGGTCCCTCCTGACCCTAGCTACTATGAATACCTGGGAAGTTACTGGAGCATATCCAAGTGTCTGGAGGAGGAAGGGCTGATCACAAGCATCCAGCATGGATTTACTAAGAACAAATCATATCAAACAAACTTGACATCCTTCTTTAACAAAGTAACTACTTGGGAATGTGGTGGATATAGCGTATCTGGACTTCAGTAAGGCTTTTGACAAGGTCCCACACAACCATCTCATAAACAAATTGGAAAAATGTGGGATAGATAAAACTACTATAAGATGGATAGATAACTGGCTCAATAGCCACAAGCAAATGATAATTATTTAATGGGTCCATGTCAGAATGGCAGGAGGTTTTGAGTGGAGTCCCACAGAGGTTTGTTCTGGGCTCAGTGCTGCCCAATGTGTTTATTAAACACTTAAAGGGCCACTATAAAGAAGAGGGAAAGCACCTTTTCTGTCTTGCTGCAGAGAAGAGGGTGAAGATCAGTGGCTTGTAGTTGCAGCAAAGTAAGTTTAAATTGGATAACCAGAAAAACTTCTTCACTGTTAAAATAGTGAAGCACTGGAATAGATGACTTAGGGAAAATGTGAATTTGCCATCACTGAAGGCATTCAAGAAGAGATTGGACAGCCACTGGTCAGGGGTGATGTAGATGTAGCTATGCCTTTGCCCTACTATGGATATTTCCCATGCTTCTGAACTTTGTTAGTTTCTCCTGCCCACACCCTTTTCTACTATCTGTGTCAGGGTGTTTTTAAGCCTTCCCAGAGGCACTGGGTGTTAGTTACAGCCAAGGCTGGGGACTTTGACTGGGGCATACCAATATGCCTGGTAGGAGCAAAGCTGGAGGTTCTAGCTAGAGTGCCTTGCTCCTCTGCTCAGGGTCAGACTGATCACCATATTTGGGGTCAGGAAGAAATTTTACCCCATGGTCAGGGTGGTATGAATTGTGAGGGGATCTTCTCTAGTGGGGGGCATAGCCCTCTGCCCAGAACCTCTTGAATGTACATTGACAACATTTTATAGACACTAGGCATTGGCTGCCATGGTTCCCCTGCTTTACTTGTGCCAGGTTAGGGTGTTAGGTCTATGTAGTGTTAGGGCTGACGGCAGTCATATTTAGACTTTAAATTAATGTTTGCATGCAATTATGGTTTTTATGGTATGGTTTGAATAGGCAGGGGGTTGGACTAAATGACCTCTGGAGGTCCCTTCCAGCCCTAGTTCTCTATGATTCTGTCATATTCAAGGAAATATGGTAACAGCAGCTTTTGCCACTTTTGCTAGCCCCTGGCCAATACATAAGTAAAAAGTAAAGCAGCATCTGCTGTATGAAGGACTTCCTGGCTTCCAACTGTAGATGCTTTTTCTCCCTGACAGAAGCTCTCAAAGGAAAAACAAGTTGCATATTTTATTTGGGGGGGTGTTGTATGCAAGAAAATATGGTATATGTATTTGGCTGTCATTAGCGTTAAAACTATGATATTTACTCAATTCTAAGATGACCGTTTTTCTCCATTTAACGTGGGGGGGGCTCACTTGCCTTGTAATCAAGTATAAGGGGGAAGTGAGGAGCAGATGGCTGCTACAGCTTGGGCCTGGGCTTGGGCTTGGGCTTTAGCCCCTACCTGGGGTGAGGGCCGTAGCCACAGTTTTTGCCTGCCTCCCATCCCCCACTGCCTCTGCACCCTGCCATCTTCTCCCAGCAGCCTCTTCCACACAGTACCTCCCACACAGCCTATGCTCCCCAACCTGCCCCTCTCCCCCTTGTATTTGCTCTATGCTAGGAGGCTCAATCCACACTGGGCACAGAGCATGGCTCCAGCCTGGACCCACAGCAGAGCACACAGCTGACATAGCTGCTACAGGGGCTGGACTGGGGTCATGCTCAGTGCTCCCAGCTACAGCATGGATGGAGCCTGCCAGCACAGAGCACAGACCAAAGCCAAGAACAGGGACAGAGCTGCCACAAAACAAGGGTTAGGTGGTTGTGGAGGGAGCAGGTAAAAGAGGCTGGGGGAGAGAAGGGAGGAAAGTAGAGTCTGGGGAGAGGGAGAAGGGGGAGCAGAGGCTGGGGGAAAGTGAGGCCCAAGGCTGCAAGGGTGGTCAGTCAGGGGGCAGAGGTGGTGGGGGATATGCACAAATGGGGGGTAGGCACAAACAGAGGCAAGCTACTTAACCTCCCCACACCACCTGCTCCCCCCACTGCTTGCCTCCCTGCAGCAGTGGGGATGTATTAAAGATAATCCTTCAATAATCAGATTCTACCATTTATAACATTTTCCATGTATAGTATCTATTGCGGAATCATCTTATATTCAGGGCCATCTTAAATTTGAGTAAGTACAGTAGGTATTCTATTTCAAGGATAGTGTTGCTACTGCTTAATTACTGCTATGTTTGAGAAACAGGATTTTATATATTCTCTGTAAATAAGCAGGTTTGCATTAGACAAACCTAACTTTATGACCAGTTTCTTTTGCTAACTGGAATAATTCTGTGACATCCCAAATTGTTGCTTAACCGCTCATGTTGAAAGAGATAACAATAATCTGAATTCTCAAAGTACTCTCAAAGAGCTAGCAGATGACCTTGGGAACTAAGAAACTTATCTAAATACTTCAGCCCCCTGGAGCACAGGCTCAGATAATGAAAGATTGCACAAGGGTCTCCTGTGCATGACATTTGCTTATAAGCCATAAAATCAGTGCAAGTCATCACAACCCCTAGGGTGGTATGACTGACTTGTCTAGAATCAAGACTAAAACAGAAATAAAACACATCTCCCAAGTCTGCAACCTATTTTTTACACATGAAAAGATTTCCCCACATTAATCATGTTGTTATACATGTCAGATTCTACATGGAAGCACCAGCTTAGTGCCAAATATCATGCCCTTATTCTGGGCTCACTAATAGTGCAATATGTCAGCGTGAAAAATGAAGTTCCCAAATGTCCAGGTTTTCAAGTGAAATTTGCATAGCATCTTACAGTCCTCAAATATAATTCTGAGCAACAATATTGGAAGGGTTTGAGAAAAAAGAAAAGTTTGAGAAAAAAGTTCAAAACATGTAAATTTTACAACTTTCCTTTCCTTCATCATCATTTGCCATTTCATTTTTGACCTAATAATGCTTAATGCATGGATCTCTCACAATAGGGGATTTGTCTATGGCATTATGTGGAACAAATTCCAAATAAGATATCAAACTTGCCCCTAAAAAATATTAATTTTATTACTCCTGTTCAGTCTTTTAGCTTTTTTGAATAGGCAGCATTCAGTCTTCCTGAGTTCTTATGCCTGGGATGATTTAAAATACTATTCACATCCATAGAAGATAATACATCTAAATAAAATACAATGTGCTTAGAGTGCCATCATGTGACTGTATGGCAATATTACGTCAGAGGTAAATTCTTGTCATATGAATTTGTACCAAAATTGAGGGGATTTACATGCAATAAAAATACGCAGAAATTATCTTAAAACTGATTTTTCACAATAGGTAGCTAAGTTGTGTGTCCTCAAAAACACATCTGGCACATTCAGCATATATGCTATTTTGCAGAATAGCCAAGCATTTATAAGAGAAATAAAAACAACACACATTGTATTCCCTCCCCTCTCCCACCCCCCAGGAATAAATGAGATGCCACAGTTTTCCCAGTGTTACCCATTCTAAGTTCTGTAATTGTCATTTTATCACTGGGTACTAAAAATGGGACAAGCTGACCCTTTCCAAGGGTGACCACAGCATTTCTTCTACCAACAGATCAAAGTATACTGAAATTCCATGTTGGATTTGAAGAGATCTACTATACTGCAAGAGTGATGTAGTCATGATGGTCCAAAAATTATGTGAGAGGCAAGGTTTTCTTAGGGTGATAGCCTTTATTGGACCAACTGTGTAGCTGAGATAAAGGTGGACAAGCTTTCAAATGTAAGGCATTCTTCCTCAGATCTTTACTAGGAATTCTCATCCATTACTATCCTTTTAAACATACAACATACAGCAGAACTGGCTTCATTCTAATGGCTTGGGAAAGTAATTCTGTCATTTACTACCTGTCCAGTTTTCTATCTTTTTTTCTTTTTTTTAAATTTACACTCCCCTCTATCACATTCTTTGAGTACAGTGGCCAGTCCCCAACAAGAGATGCCCTTTTTCCGCTATAAAATCTGTTGAAGGAGTTGCTGATTTGGTGAAAAATTTGCTAGTTTATGTCTTCATCTGAAACCCATTATATCTAACAAGAGCCTTACCATGGACTCGAGCTGGCTTTGAATCAGGTCCTTATGAACATCTGCACTTTTACAACTTGGAGAAGTAGCACATGAAACAAGAATATAGCCATAGAGCTTTAGGTCTCTACCTGTCATACTAGGTGAATTCTCGCAGTAATGCCAAATTCTTGTGAACCGGTGTTTCTGACAACATCAGGAAGAATTTTAAGGCTCCAGGTTTCTATATTGTAACATGAAATGGGATGCCAGGGCTAACAGAGATATTTGATGCAGAATGGAGGAAATTGCATGAGCCCCATTAGTGGCTTTGCTTAAGGAGGTGATGGGAATGGAGAATCCTGGGTGGGATAAGGATAGGTTGAGACCTGCCTGGAGTGACCCGCGAACTGTACCCGATCGTTGGGCTAGGTTTGCTGCTGCTGCCTGGGGTAAACCCAGGAAGTGATGCCTGTCGTGGCTGCTGGCCACATGCCTGCAGTTAGGGGCTGAAGAGGTCGCCCAGCTTCGGGAAAAGGTCACCCGGCTGAGTAAGGAGTTAGAAGATGTGTAAAAATGAATTAGAAAGAAATGCACAGGCTACTTACGAGCAAATCGTGAAAGAGGTCGAGCATTTTTGTCGCCTGTCTCATTTGCAACTGCAAAGAAAAAACAATAGGATGTTACATCAAAATGTATGCATCGTATCACTTATACTTATGAAAATACCAACACCTACATGTAAGTCATGCAACTAGTAAGAATGCTTACAATTTTTACATACTGGCTAATACTTTTGAATATTCCATATGAGTTACTTTGACTATTAACCTATCTGTACCAGTTTAGCCTTCCTATGTTACAGGGACCTAGATATAATTCTCACAGATGCATATACAAACATTATCTTGTGCCTATCTAGCAGGTGACTTAGTTAATTAACCAGTAACTCTTAACCAGTGTACAGCAATACATGTTAAATCAGCATTATAAATTTTACTCACAGGTGTACTCACTATTTTGTTTTCTGAGAGTTAAGGAAACCATCATTTTTCTCCAAGGGCTTTTATTTACAGATGAGCTACAGCTAGGGTGACCACATGTCCCATTTTTTCAAAGACTGTCCTATTTTAAACACCTGTCTTGAGCATTCTGTTGGTTTGGTCAAATAAAGTCTTTTGTCCCATTTTCAGCAGGATGCCTTGGACAGGTGTTTAAAATAGGACTGCTTCACTCTGCTGCCTGGCACTCCCTATCTCTCCCCTCCCTCGCCCAAGGAAAATGGAAAAAAACCACAAATTTGAATTCATATAGACCAACAGAAACAGAATAACATCTATATAAGGTCTACCCTATAAAACTTGGCTAAATTTGAACTGCAAAAGTAGGGCTGGGTTTTGCTCTTGTTTCTGGTTTTTTGCTCAAACATATCATCCCAGCCAACCCAAAACTATTGCAAATTGACTTGAATTCACTGAATAGTTTCAAATGGAAAAGAAAAAAAATGAAAGTTCAGACTAGATTTGAAAAACAAGCAAAAAAGAGATATTACTTTCCCCAACGTTTCCTCAGTTGCTCAGTGCTTAGGACAGTAACCTGGAATGTGATAGATCTGGGTAAAATGCATCCCTTTCCGACAGCACCTGGAACCTAACTCTTCCATCTTTGAATACAGTCCTAACCACCATGCTCATTGCCCTCAACTCCTGTTTTTGCTGGAGGGAGTGTGCTAAAATGATGGGCATGTGGAAAGTTTTATGCATTTCCGGTGACCGCTCTCATCCCAAGAGGGGCCTGGGTCCTTGGGCCCCCCATGTACTCAGAGCGTCTGACTACACTGTAAAGTCTGCCTGTATGTGTCTGCTTCTATCTATTTTTTCCCTACCCTCCCCATAAAGATATCATGCTCCCACAGGAGAGGTTCAGAGAAGCCCCTACAGAAAGTCTGGTGGTAGAATAGGTAAGTCCCACCAGGCGGAGAAGGAATTTAAAGCTATGTCTGACATCCCAAAGGCCTGAGCCATCAGGCCTTGTTCAAGGGGGACAAGTATGTCCCTTCCTTACTGGTTTTGTGAATAGTGCCTAATTCTAATCTATAACTTGTATGGCTTTGCTTCTATTAAAAATAGAAACATTTTGGTTTGGGATGAAACATTTTCTTTATCTCACAACAAATTTCTCTTATATTTTTGTTTTGGCAAGACCCCCTATCTCCATAAAAATCCACTGCGATTTAATTCAGACTGAAATACCTCTCAACTTGTCAGTTTAATAGCGAACTTAACTAATTATTTATACAGGGTCACATAAAGCCAGTTACTCAAGTAGTATTCAAAGAACATGAACTTTCCATGCATTCTCACAGAGAATATGTAATCATTCATGAGCTTTAAATAGTTATTTCCTTCGTGCCTTTTCTTTTAAAAACACTACTGCCATAGATAAGCTGCATCATTAGTCATGCAGCCTTACAAATAAAAGCATGTGCATATGATGTGGAAAAAAATTGAAAAGTAATGAGAAAACAGATTCATAATTTTCCATCAAGACAATACCCAAAACTGATCATTTTAGATACAAGGCTCTTTGAGAGTGACTGTTTAATTTTTCTAGCAAATCTAAAAAGTATAAATAAGCTTGGTTTTACTTTTAAAATGCCAATCTAGATTTAGTTCAGGTTTCCCCTCAAGTCACAGAATCATACAATTAAAGAGATCTCAAAGATTACATAGTCCAAGCTCCGGCTGCAAAATTTATTAGTTTCATATTTATCAAAATATTTATCTTGTCATGGCAATTAAAACTAAAATAAGCAGTCATGTCAGTGCTCAGAGACATTACAGGAACAGATGTGTAATTCTGCTCAGTGTAGACAGCAGATGGTGCTCTTAAAACATGATGCTTTCTGAAAGTGCTGTGGCATCATTAGTTCACATGCAAGGAACTAGTTTTATTTTATTCAAACCAGCTAAGCTTTAGTAGCAATGACTACACAGGACCCCACCTAGATTTCTCTCTGTTAAGTCAACATTTAAGGGTATATTCTCAAATACAGTTCTCATGATTCATAAAAGGCTTGAAGTGCTAACAGCTACATGCACCCTATCTGAAATAGACATTAAAACTACAGCTGATATCACCAGCAAAGCATCAGCTCCGTAGCTTGTATGAACAATAAAGCTGAAAAAAATGGCTGAGCGCACACAAAATAGCTGGAACACTTAACACTTAGTAAGTGGTGTTTCTGTTTTCTTGATACAAGTTAACTCTGGGAGTCTTAGGTGGTGGAAACTATACCACATACTCCCTTCCTTAACTGAACAGGATCAATGCTTTAAAAATAACATTAATATAACACAGAATTATGAATATTTATTACCAGCCTAATAGCTAAACTTATTATTGTTGTTTAATTAGTCTAAGTTACCCTATATTGCTTCTTGGACTCACATAGCTATATCCAGGAACAACAGCTCTACTGTTGACAAAAAACAGCAAGACCGCTTGTCCATGTCCTCAGACTTCAGTGCCACAATTTCCATTGATTGTTGCCTCACCAAGATTCTCTTGGGCAAAAGAGCAAGTTCTGTGCCTCTTCCATCTCCACTTCCCCTAATTGTGTGTTCCTGTGTAGTAACAACTTCATACAACCATGGAAAAATTTCTTGCAATACCCCTGTTGTTTGTATCCCATCACAAGGAAACGAACATTTTCATGTAATGGGGCAACTCCTGGGAATCCATATCATACTGATTTTTTTTTCATATATTATCCGTCTCTTTAGCCATTCTTCATTGACTGACACCAGTTTTTTATTGCCTAGAACATACATGCAAATTCTTCCTCTGTTTTTTTAGTCCCCTCTTGAGTCTTCCTTTGATAAGATCAGGGGCTTGACACACTTTTAACCCAATAAACACAGGCTTTTTCCCCTGGTGCTATTACAAATTATAATGTTTCCAGTTTGTTATCTACTAATACATACTCCTTTGGCAGTGATAAATGCATTGTTGTAAACACTGAATTTAATGTATGTACCTTCCACTATATTCAAGTTAATGATGACGCATCTGGAAACACAGTAGCTTTTCCTTATGGGTCAACCTTAAAGTTGACAAATGTTCCATTTGCTTTCAGTCTACCCATCTTCTGCTGCTGTGCTGTTTGGTGCCATACTTCATTCCTCTAAGTTAATAGTACAGTTGTCATTTTTTTCCAAGCTGTGCCTGCTCTTTGGCTCTTGCAAACCAATGCATCTTCCATATGCCAGGGCTGCCCTTGATTTATGCTTGTCACCCCATAACCTGCAGCTTCACATATTGCTTTCACTCATTTCTGACTTTGAGCACTGCAAGTCTTTCATCAAATGCTGCAGAATTAGCCATTTCCAAAAATAATTCTCCCTTCTAACTGTACTCTTTTTTTCCTAGCAGCCATTGCTTGCAGGTAGAGTGAAGCTCTGTTTCTACTTCATCCTGTTATCTTTCATGTTTCCACAAATTTTCAGTGCTAGTAAGGCCTCTAACTGTTCCATAATTCCATTCAGGGTATTTTCTTAATATTTTTACTCCTGGTCCCAAATAGCGTTGAGTTATCCAAGAACTGTGCTTTGTTCCATCTCAAATCAGCCGTGCATAACAACAAGAGCTTCACAAAACTCCATGCAGACTCTATACTGGGAAAGCTTGACCCTTAAAACAGCAGCCAATTCCCAAAACTTTTCTCACCTTACAGACCAATACATTTGTGCAACTCCAAACTAAAGGGACTGTTCACATGCCTGCCATTAATAGGGAGCAAGAACTTAACCACATTTAGGTGCGCCACACCTATTTTTATAGGTGAGAGCTAAACTGGGACAGTTTAGCCCTGAATGAAACAGGCTAAATTATCATAGTTTAGCTTTCCCTTACCAAAAGATAATTGTAGGCACAGGGAAAGTTGCGACAAAGCAGCTGAGACACAGTAAGTCCCTTCCTTCTGCTAACTGCAAGGACCGAGGGTAATTGTGGGTTCTGGAAAACTAGGTCTTAGGTCTCCAACCATGAGCTCCTAACAGGCTGGTCAAATTGTTAGAACACTAGTTTCACCTATACTTCATGCCCCTATCCTGTCAAAAACTTTGGGCAAATCATTTAGTTTCTTTGGGCCTCAGTTCCCCATCTGTACAATAAGAAGAACTGTAACAAAACTCTGAGGAGGAGGGAAGTAAGGATAAATACCAAAATGCCATCAGCTGCTATGAGATCATGGTAATGAAACTCACATAATTATCAAAGATAAATATGTATTTATGTAGCTTTTATTTATTTCAAATGTATATCATGTTCTTATCCACCTAAGGTCAAGTCCAACTCACTCCTTTGTTGTTGCAGGGGTACTTTATAAGTGCAGAATTGATGCACAGAAAAAGGAAGAAAATTAGAAGATTTATGGAGGTCAAGCTAGAGGTGCAAACTGTCACTGGTTTTTCTATTCATGAATTATCCACAAAGAGATTTAGGACCAAATCTTCATCTACTGTACATCATTGTAACCCTCTTGATTTCCATGCACCTACATCTTCTTACCCAAGCTCAGGTTCTGGCTCTTGGTTATGTGGTGTTGCTCAACAACTTATTATACTGACATAACTCAGCCTGTAGGTGACGTAAAACC